ATCCCCTAACCAAAGACGGCTCTGTGGTGGCTGCACAGTGGCCTTTGTGGCAGGACAAAGGGTCGGTGTTCTGGAAGGCCTGCCAGGCTTTGGTCCTGATTCCAATTCTAGCTTGCTCCCTGTTCCCACAAGCAGCTCATTAAAATGACCTTGTGGAACCCCGTGGGGGGCAGGAATGTCCTATACCGTGGACAGAGAGGTGGTCACACAGGGGTGTGTGTGCGCTCAGCAACTCCCTGGAGTCACTCACTTAAGCACACTTTATGGTAGGCATGAGACACCTCAATGACAAATATTTATGTTTTAAATGTCACTGTCTTCTTACTCCCAACAGAACGTTTTCCCTTCTACAGGGATGTGTGCCTCACCCCAGAGACGTCCGACCCGCCGCCACCAGGTGCCACCCTGTGAGAGGGGACCACAATGTATGACGCACACCTCCATCAGACCCTCCATCACCAGGCACCACCCTGGGAGAGAGGACCGCCATGAGTGTCACACACTTCCTGTGTGTCGCCAGCCTTGGAGACATTCCAATACTGAGTCTTCGCTTCCATTTAGTGAAGCCCATGTCTCTTCCCCCACTTGACAGATTGAAAACCAAGGCTCCGTGGAGAGCAGTGGCTTTCTCAGGGTCACACAGGGATGCAAGGTCTGAACCCAGGTCCTCCGTGATCCCTCTACCCTCTGGACCTGCCTCGTGGTGACCAAGTGAGATACGCTGAGGAACGGGAGGCCAGTGCGATAGTGTTTTGAAATCCGCAGCCCAGGGGGGTGTTTTTTAAAATTAAAATGAAGTCATTGAATAATGGCAAGAGAGTGATTTGTGTCATGCCAACATATTCTTATTTGTCATGTTTTAAAAAACATGACTTGACAACATTGAAACCCTGAGAGACGTCCTCTGTGGATCCAGGTGTCTTCAGTATTGTGCGAGTCAGGGTCTGGCTGCTCTGGGACCATGTTCCCATGGCACAAGCTCTCCAGTTTCTCCAGACCCCAGCAGCCGGCTCCGCTCACTAAGTGGGTGACCACCTAGTATCCAGTGGTCCAGCATTTGTCCCTCACCTACCGGGAGCCACGTTTCCTTCTCCAGAATGACCCACTTCTTCCCCCACCTCCAGGTCACCTGTGGTTGAATTCAACCCTGTCTCCTGGACTGTCAAGGTGGCTTGGTCCTGATCAATCAGAGCCCCACACTAATCTGTCCACATGATTGGCATTAGCTCGTGACTGGATATAGGAGCCAATGAGGTCTCATGAAATTTTGACTAGAATCACTGTGAAAATAGCACATGGGACTTAAACCTGCGTGGCAGAGCCTGGAGCTTCTGGAAGCCATCTAAAAGCACCTGGAACTTCACAATGAATCCAACACCCAGGAGAAAGGAGTCCCCTGATGGGAGGTCATGAGGTCCTTAATGAGCTCCTCGATCAAGCTCTACCCAAAGCAAAATATTGCCATACTTTTCATTTACATAAGCCAACAAATTTCCTGTGTTGTCTCTTCATTTAACCTGTTTGTGTTACTTGTTTGCAAGTGACAGAAATTCCTTCCCTAGGGGATCTCCCAGGCTAGCATACAGCAGGAGCGGGACCCAAAGGGTAAAAGTGACAGAAATCTAAACATCAACCTAACATAAAGATGGGAATTTTCTTTTTTTTCTTTTTTTTTAATTAATTAATTAATTTTTTTATTGGTTGTTCAAAACATTACAAAGCTCATGATATATCGTCTTTCATACATTTGACTCAATTGGGTTATGAACTCCCATTTTTACCCCAAATACAAATTGCAGAATCACATCGGTTACACACTCACATTTTTACATAATGGCATATTAGTGACTATTGTATTCTGCTACTTTTCCTATCCCCTACTATCCACCCTCCCCTCCCCTCCCATCTTCACTCTCTACCTCATCTGCTGTTGTTCAAGATGGGAATTTTCAATGCTGAATCAGCAAGGAGTGACAACGTGTTGTGAGACCCAAGTCAATAAAATTATTCAGGCAGGTTAAAGTTTACTATCAATGTGTCCATTTTGGCCCAAGGTAGGTGGTTGGATAAGATGAATCCAAACCTTAATTTCCTTCCAACTTGATTTTCTAGTGAATATCAAGAATAGAATAGTCCAGAAAAAAATGAGAAATGATACCCCATTTATGTATGATATACCAAAGTGCATAAATGCATGCTACTGTCATGTATAACTAATTAAAACAAAAAATGAAAAAAAGAATAGAATATTCCTTAGAAAATGGTCTCCTCAATATCTTAGGGAGATGCTTCTCCCATACCTGTTACCCCTTACCTGTGTATCCCGATTCTTTTCTTTAGAGCAATCACCACTATTTTTAATTCTATATTTATATTTTGTTGACTTCTTTATTTCTCTCTTCCCCACCAAGCGGTCAGTTCTGTAAGAGCAGAGAGGCCTGTGTTTTGTTTTCCTGTACTTCCCACCTAGCGAATGCTTACCACACACAGTAGGTCTGCAGCTTTGTGCCTTGAATGACTGAGACTTCCCTGCCCCTGTGTTTTCCACGAAGTTGTTCAGAAAGCCAGTGTCCAGATGGTCCCTGTGGGGTCTGTAGCCATCTCGCCCCTTGCACGCTCGACCTATTTAAACACAGCTCATCTGTATCCTGTAGTGAAGATGTATTTTGTATTTTGTTGTTGTTGTTGTTGTTTTGCGGTACTGGGGATGGAGCCCAGCATGGCTCGCGCATGTCAGGCAAGTGCTCTACCACTGAGCCAGGCTCCCCGCCCTAGGATGTCATTTTAGTACAGGACATTCTGCTAGCTTGTCACTCAAGCACACGCACCCTCATTAGGAACATCTTTCTCTCTCTCTCCTTTCTTGGATTTTTCCAGCATAGAAAGCAGTTCCCTTCCCAACACCCCTCCTTGTGCTTTCTATTGTGTGGCTGCACATCGAGCTTTGCTGCTGTCCCTTAAGATAATGGAGGAAAGGAAACTCTCATTTTGGGGGCGAACTTTATATGCTAGGAGCTTTGCATATATGATGTCATTGAACTATCACAGCTACTCGACAAAATTGGCACTTTAACTCTTTTCTTTTTTACATTTTTTTTTTAGTTGTAGATGGACACAATATCTTTATTTTTATTTTGTTTATTTTTTTTTATGTGGTGCTGAGGATCGAACCCAGGGTCTCACGCGTGCGAGGCAAGCACTTTACACTGAGCCACAACCCCGGCCCTATAACTCTTTATTTTTATAGAAGAGAGAAGTAAAGCCCAGAGAGTCGATAATTTACTCAAGATTCAATTATCAAACTTAAGACTGTGGCACTCTGAAAATTTTGGCTCTATCATGCCACGGTTAGTTTTCAAACATGGCTGTATGTGTGTGTGTGTGTGTGTGTGTGTGTGTGTGATGAATGTGCACGTGTGTAAACTGTGTATGGATACGTGATAGATATTCATTCCCTAGCATTCTTTTCTGCAAATGATCTTTTGTTCTCTCTAGGCCTTCGGCTCACGCGGGCCTGGTGCACACGCACTCACACACACAAATCATTAGCATCTATTATTTATTGTACTGGAGGAGAAGGAAATTACACTGGCCTATTAAGGGCAAAGCAAATTCCAAGTAAATTGCATAAATGGGATTTTTAAAAAGCACACAAAGTAACCCCAAAAAACAATCTGTACATTTCCAAACACCGTGAGAGCCCCGGAGGCTGTGCATGAAGAGGTCTGCTCAGAAGCATCTTGTACAAATGACCCAAGCTTGAGTCTGTTTTCTCTCCTGTCCAGCAGCATCTGCTGGACCCACAAACCCAAACCTAGTGTCAGGGAGAGAGAGTGGGGGGACTGAAACCCAAGCACCAGGAGGTCTCTGCCTCTGATTCTGGGTTATTTGAATCAAGGGAACTCATTTGGCCTCAAACACTCCATCATGTCTTTCCTCTTTCTGGTTTTATTTGGAGACACAGAGGAAGGAATCACCCAGGGAGTGGAGGAGGGCTTTCTCTTTCCAGGCTCTAACTCTGGACTCCCTCATCCAATGCCCGATGCATACGCTGGGCCAGATGGCTTGGACTCCTGGCAGCCAATTCATCTGCTCAAGAACATGGCTGTGCTTAACCTCATCCACTTGACTCTGCTTCAGTTCATCATGGGGGAAGGAGTGGGATACCAACCGGTTTAATTAGCTTAATGAGAGCTGAGGGAACCGGTCCACATTCTGAATTTGTTGCACAGAACAAATTGGTTTGCTCTGCTCCCTCCTTGATCATTTAAGAATTCAGAAGGAGAACAGCTCTGGCCAAGGTACCACATGAATGGGACTTCCGGGAGCTCGGCTCCCAGAGAGGTGCCTTTCCAAATCACAAGGGCTCAGAAGATGCAAATCAGACTTTGAGCCCTCTAAAAGACTGGACTCCCCGTGGCAGAATTCCTGATCCAGTGAAAGGCAAAACGTTTAATCTTTTCACCTAATGCTCAGTCTCCAAGGTGAGGTGCGCAAGGAGATTATTTGAGGTTTGAGCATACAAGGCTAGGATTTCTATTTATTTATTTATTTCCTTTGCTTATTTTATGGTACATATGTATATTGCCTGCCTGGGAGGCATGCTTATTGGATTTTGTTGTTGTTGTTGTTGTTTTCTGAGAGGGGCATGTAATCAGGAAAGTCTGGAGATCATAGATCCAAAGAACAAGTCCCTCTGGATTCCTGGAGTGGGGGGGGGGGGGTCATAAGATCGGGGTGGAGGAATATCAAAAGCTGCTGGTGGTTGTAAAGGTCGAGGGGTCTGAGCCAAGCACTGTTGGAAGGGGGATCTCCATTTTTTCTAGTCACTGACCCCAGTCAACTCCCACAGTCCCCAGCCGAAGGGAGAAAGGCTGCGCTTGGATACTTTGTAGCCAGTGCTGAGCTGAGCACGAGGGCGGGTGCGCCGGGAGGAGCGCTTGCGCTCGGGGCGGGAAGGTGGCGGGGGAAGCTCCCGACTCAACTGCACAGGGAGGGGCTTACGCATCGGAGAGCTCTGCGGAGTAGGCATAGGGGTCTTCCTGGGACCGAGTCACCACCTTGAACTGGCGCCGGAGGAAACCGCCATAACGCTTCTGGTTATCCCACTTGAGCTTGGGACGGATGCGCCGCAAGAAGCCCCCGTAGCGTTTGTACAAGTCCTCGTGGCCCGCCCTTTCCCCGTCGCCGTCCCCCTCCCCCGCCACCTCTGAGCTCCTCTTGGGGTATTTGCGTAGAAAGCCCCCATAGCGCTTGACCTTGGCATCCTCCTCATCCAAGTCCAGCGCAGCAGCCTCCAGGGCGCCGTTGTTCAGCTGGGCACCCCCGGGCAGCTCGGCTTCCCCTCCGTCCCCAAACCCACCGGGGAAACCCCTGAGCTTCTCCTTTGTCAGGGTGCCAGGGAGAAGTTGGCTTCTCTCCGCCTCCTTCAGGAAGGGCCCCAGGAGCTTGGCCAGCTCGCTGTAGGCTTCTTCCAAGGCTGCCTGGCTCTCCAGATCTTCCTGGCCAGCAAGCCCAAGGGTGGACGGGTTGAGAAAAGACAGGAAGCCCTGACATCTCTCCCACTCCTCCGAGGGCAGCAGGGCGTCCTGGCATTCCAGAGAGCAAACCTGCAAAAGACCCCGGAGACCACAGTGGTAAGGTCACCCTCATCCAACTCTCAATTATTTTATTTTAATATACTGGTACTGGGGACAGAACCAGAGGGTGCTTAACCACTGAGCTACATTCCCAGCCCTTTTTATTCTTTATTTTGACACAGGATCTCACTAAATCTCTGAGGCCAGCCTTGAAATTGCAATCCTCCTGCTTCAGCCTCCTGAGTCGCTGGGAATACAGGCGTGCAGCACTGTGCCCGGCCCTAACAAATTATCAAAACACATGCTCTGAACATAGCGAGGCCCTATCTCTACATGAAATATAAAAAAGGGATGGGGAGCAGGGAAAGGTGGCACACACACCTGTAATCCCAGCGGGTAGGGGCGGGCTGAGGCAGGAGGACCACAGTTCAAAGCCAGCCTCAGCAACTTAGCGAGGCACTAAGCAATTCAGTGAGACCCTGTCTCTAAATAAAATACAAAAAAGGGCTGGGGATGTGGCTCGGTGGTTAAGCACACCTGAGTTCAATCCCTGATGCTCCACACACACCCACACACACAAAAAAAAAAAAAAAAACACATGCTCTGCCTCACCCTGGAGCCCCTTTTCCAATATCTGAAAAAATAAAAATGAGTGGCTTTGGCTAAGCACTTGGCCACCCATTTTAATGCTCCCAATGATGCATAAAGGTAGGTGCCTTTTGTGTCCGTGTGAAAGAAGAGAAAACAGACTTGGAGAGTTGAAACAGCTTTCCCAAGGACACGTGCCTACAGGTGGCAATGCCAAAACTGGACTCAAATTGATCGAAATCGATCTTCCCATAGAGCTCTGCGTGCTCCTCCAGAGGGAGAAGATGGTTCTCCTAACACTCTCAGGGTGTGAAGGATGCTGAGAACACTTGACAGGCACCGAGCAAGGCAGCATGCTGTAAAGAGCACGTGTGAGGGGTCTCAGAGGCTTCATCAAGGGTGGAGTTGGGGGGACACAGTATCTGCTTCATGGGAGGGGGTGACTATGAGGATGACCGCAGTGGTTGATGCTGCCACGTGAGCCCTGGCGGTCTAATGCCACAAGTCCTCATGCTTCACCACCTGAGACTGTCTGGGCTCACAGAATTGCCCCCCTTTGGCAGAAAAGGAAATTGAGGCTCCAAGAGGGGTTTCCATAGTCAGAGAGCCAGAAAGGGACACCCTGGGCACGTCTCCCCCAGGCCACCTGCCATCGTTGGCGAGGCACTGGGGAGAGTCTGCAGAGTAAAGGCTACAAGCCTGGCGGAGAGATGCCGAGACCCAGAAGAGGAAGCAAAGTTTGGAGCCTGTCACACAGATCCCAGCTGTTAGAGGTCCGGGAGACAGCTCTTTTCATGAGAGTGACTGGATTTAGAGGTGTCCATCAGCCTGGGGCTGGGGAGGGAGCAGCCCTGAAAAGGGAATGTAGATCTGCTGACTGCAAAGTCAGCGCTTCATGATTGACAGACACCCTCCCTGTTGCCAGGCGTGCAGCTCCCTGGGAACCTGAATCTCTGTCCGGGCCAGAGGGAGCCCATGGCAGTGAGGTCTGGGGTGTGGATGGGAGCTGGACACAGTAGCCCCTGGTGCCTCGCCTTGTCCAGGGACAGGACAAGCCATGCACAAGGTTATGAGTACTGCGAGGGCACAGCTGCCCAGGCCTGGGACCTCCCCTCCCTGGGCTCCACACTCAGAAGGGCCTGGGCATCAGGAAGCTGGCCGGAAACCTACCAGGGGGTTGATGGGTTTGGGTCCATCCTGGGTCTTCACGGCACACCAGGCGCAGCGGGACAGGCAGTCTGCCGCGGCAGAGGGGAGAGCGAGGAGGCACGCGGCCATCACCAGCTCTGGCCACCCCATTCTCTTGTGCCTCTTCCTGCTGGGAAGGAAGAAATCGAGGGTGGTGAAATCCAATCACCTGGTTCCAGGTGATCAATGCAAGCAATTGACAAGTGCTGAGTGCCTGCTGTATGCTAACACTTCAGCTCTGAGCGCCAACTGTAATTCCCTTGATGACATTTCAGGCTCCATCCCACAAAGGCACAAGCTGTTCCCTCTGCCTTCTGCCAGAAAACCCTTCCTCTCCTCTTCTGTTACCTGTCACTTAGATCCTAGACTAGACATCACCTCTTCTGGGCAGCTTTCCCAGGCTAAATGAGATGCTCATCTTTCCTATTCTCCCAATCATTTGCATCTCTTCCATCAAAGCAATGTACTGCTTGATAATTAGCTGTGTGAGCCTTCAGAGTCTGGTTACATAAAGGCAGTAACCGTGTCTTGTCTTCTCTGTCATACTTGCTCTGCGTTCCTCAAACAGGCCAAGCTTGCTCCTGCCTCAGGGCCTTTGCACTTTCTTCTTCTCTGTCTGCAGTACTCTGACCTCAGATTTTCATAAGATTCCCTCTTTTGCGTGTTGAATGAGTTCAATGTGGCATGGCCAGAGAGGCATTTGCTGATCCCTGTGTCAGCTTCCTCCGTCTCCCATGTCATCTGCTTTGATTCCGTTACACTCACGGCCTTCCCTATTTATTTGATATTTGTTCACTTGGTGTGGTGCTTTGTTAGGCTTGGGCACGCTCCCCCTGTAGAATGTGCACCTCAAGGGACACAGATTGTACCCAGCTTCTTCTGTGCTATATCCTAGCACCTGAAAACCCTGGCCAGCACATAAGAGGCTTTCAATAAATACTCCCCCGACGAAGTGATGCTTCACCAATAGCTGCTAAAAACCACCGTTTCAGCCAACTCTTTTTATAATCCAAAGTGAAGACTCAAAGCCATTCAAATGGGCACTCAGTGCAATTCTGTCCTGAGTGCTCAGGTGTTTTGGGGGTGCAAAGATCCCATCTCCTGAGCCCCAGAACCCCATGCTGTAGCCTGTAGCTCCATTTACTGAGCCCTGCCACCCTGGGCCCTCACTCCATCACCTCATCCCACTCCTCACTGTGAGACAGGCACTTGTGATGCACAGAGCCACCCCCACGTCCCGCCTGCTGGGGTGAAGCTGGGGTGCAAGGCCAGCCCACTTAGTGTCGCCAGGCCTAGAGCAACTTTCACTCATTGAGAGTGTGTCCCTCGTGAGGCCCAGGGCTGGCTGCCCGCACAGGACCCCTGACCTGTGTATTGAAATCAGCCCATCACCAGCTGAGAAGTGGTCCTGGAGAGACTGGAAGGATCTCCCAAGATCACACAGGGGTTCAGGGTGGGTCCCATCTGCTCCTGGAACGGGGACACCCAGAGTGGGAGACTCGGGGAAGTGGACTTGTGCCCACCTGCGTCTGCCTCCTGTCCCCGGGCTTCTCTATCAGCAGCTGAGCGGATTAGGGTTCCGGGTGAGCGAGCTGCAACATTTATATGGAGACACCAACAGGTGGCTCACACTTTCCCGGATGGCAGCCACGGCTGGTGTGACACAGAGCCCCGGCCACCCTTGACGCCCTGGCTGGTGGCTTCCCGCTGTGCGTGGCTGCTGACATAGGCAGTCCCATGTCAATCTCGTGGGAATCTTGTCTCTCTCTCTCTGCTTCTCTGAGCCACACAGCTGTTCCCCCGCGCCCTTCCACCACCAAGGCCCACATCCACAAAGGCCCAGAAACCATGGCGCCTGCTGACCCTGGGCTGAAACCTCGGAACCCAGGAGCTGAAATAAACTTCCCCTCTTCTCAGTTTTCTCAAGTGTTTTGTCACCGTGATGAAAAGCTGAGGAACAGAGACAGGTCGCTCTGAGCGACCTCAGGGGTTAGGTCCTACACACACAGACTCATGGCGTGAGCACTAGGTCACACCCACCCGACAGGTGAGGAACCGGAGCCTGCCAAGACTCCAGAGCTAGGAGGGGCTCCAGGCGAGAGATGCACCCAGGCAGTCGGGCTCCGGAGCTCTCCTTCTGGGCCAGCGGGTACTGCCCAGGCCCCTCGGTCCACCCCACGCAGCCTCCAAGCCTCCCTTCTGGAGCAGCCTCCAATCTTGTCCTCTTAGACACACTTCACAGGGCACTCAAGGGCTTCCCTGATCCAGAGGCAACATTTTCGAGGTGCTCACTGTGTGCTGGGCCCAAGCTCGGTCCTGCATGGATCTAGGGAAGGGGTCCTCGTGATGAGCCATAACTGGACTAGCGTTCTCCCCATTTTCCAGATGAGGAAGTGGAGGCCCAGAGAGGTTGTTTCATCTATCCAGGGCCTCCCAGCAGGTACACAGCACCCTCACAGACTGGCATGAGCTCTTGACCCAATGACCAATTCCCGACCCATGCCACCAATGCCGCTGCGCTGCTCCCCCAAACCTTTGCAACACCCCTGATTTCTTCTCCCTGGAAGCTTCTCTCACCCCACCCACCCCACTGACCACCTGGCTAAGTCCTACTCCCCCTTCAGATTCAGGCTCCACTGCTTCCCACCTGGATTAGGCCCCTCCTCTGAGATCCCACAGCCACCTGTGCTGGCCCTGTCCCATCATTACCTCTGAGCTTTCAAGTTCACTGCCTGGGGGCACTTTGTAAGTGCAAAGTCCCTGAGGTTGAGTGGGAGGGTGGGGTGAGGATGGCAAGGAGACCAGGGTAGAGGAAGGGCAGAGTGGGGGAGATGGAGGTTGGAAAAGTGGAGGGGTGGGCAGAGGCTGGGTAGCGCTGCCCCCATGGCCAAGGTCGATCTGCAGCTGTTCTAAGTGCGATAAGACTAAGGACGTTTGGTCCAGGCATGAGTGAGTGAACGAGTGGTGTCCCTGCACCTCGTCCAGGGCTGCAGTGAGAACAGGGGCGCTGTGCCCGGTCACTGAGTACACAGGTGCCATTTTAAAACCTGCAAGAATTTTGTATTAAAATCAAAAATTTCAATTTCCAAAGCCTCTTTAAAAATCAAACTCCCTGGAGACATTGGGCTTGTGGTCCACTATGGCAAGAGACACGTGCTACCTGGTCACCGCTGTCCCTGCTGAGCACCTGAGAGACAGTTGCAAGCCCCAAACAGCCGACTCCAGCAACTTGGAGAAGCAGAGTGGGGAGGAGGAGGGGATGAGGCCTCCACTTCCTCCCGACCCACAGTAGGGTCCCCAAGTGAGGTTACTGATGGGGGCTCAGACCCCAGCCCACCACTCACCACTGCTTTGGGAAAACCACTTAACATCGCCAGGTCTCCATTTTCTCTGCTATGAAATGGGCCAATAATAAGGCCTCAGATGATTGTGCAGGAATGAAATGTGAGACTGTTATGAAGCACCAAGCATGTGCGTGGCACACAGTAGGTGCTTCAATAGTAAAGTACAGCTTTGGCCTGGTCTTACTTGGGCTGTAAGGGAAGGGGAGAGAGGAGCACAGAAAAGAGAGAACATAAAGCCCTGGCGGGCGGTAGGAACCGAATCAGTACCTGGATGAACTAATAGTCGTGGGCCCCTGTGACGTCAGTCCTGCTACTGCCACCAACTCCCAGGAACCTCGGAGGTGGGAGTTTTTATTCCCATTCCACAGGCTTTCCACAGCTCCCCCAGGTCCAACGTGGCTCAACCAGTGTGACCTGGTGGCCTGGAGATTTTTCTTAGCGATCCTGTTTCCTTTCCTTTGTAGCATAAATAAATGGTGAGCAGTGTCAGCTGGGCCCTGGGGAGAGCGTTTCCACCTCTCTAATGGGGTTCTGCTGAGGGATGGAGCTTGGAGGTCAGAGGTCACAGACAGCCCTGCTTCTTGTCATCTCTGATTGGGGACGAACTTCATCCTTCTTCAGGGGGAGAAGTGGAAAAGTGGAAAGTGAACCCACTCGGCAAGTGTCAGGGAACTGGCGGAGGCCATGCTCAGCCCACCAAGAAAGGAGGGGCCCCTCTTGCAGGTGGGTGGACCGGGGGGGCTCACAAAGAAAAATCCTGGGCTCTGGGCCGTTCCTGAAGCGTGTCCTCGGCCACCACCTCACCACTCAGCAATAGTCCAATAGGGAAACACGAGCTGATGGGAGCGAAGGGACTCTCCCCTAACAAGAAGCAAAGGACACTGAGGACTTGGCCACCTCCATAATCCCACCAGCCTGTGTGGATGGACGCATCCTGTGGGCCTGTCCTCACCCACTGCCCAGCCTTGTGAGGACGTCTGTTTCCAGGGCTGTTCTCAGGCTGAGAGCAGGGCTGATTGTTGAAGCAAGGATCGCATGGCCCAGAAAGCCAGAAATATGTACTCCCTGTTCCTGGACAGATAAAGTGTGTGACCCTGCCTGCCTTAAGCTGATCACCGCGTTATGGTTCTGATGGTCTTTGGGGTCATTTGCTTGGGCCCCCCGGCATTTGCACTTATTACCCAATAATAAGCCCTGCCCTATGCCTCGTTAGTGTGGGCAGCCCCTGGGCAGCTCCTGCCGGGAGGTCAGCGCACTGCATCTCCCCCACCATGAGTTCACAGCCCTTTCTGTCACTCCTGCTGCTGTCCCGGCCAGAACAGAGAGGACCTGGGCTGCTCGCCTGAGGACTTTCCTTTTCCTTAGGAGAGAAGGACATAGGCTGTGGGGTCAGAGAGACCCAGTGCCCTCTCTGTGACAAACCCCAGTCTTCGCATCTGCAAATGGGGGTGGGGGGTATCAGCTCCCCTCAGTGTCCCCTGAGACAGCAGCCTTTAAAGGGCCTGAAGTTCCTTGAAAGAGGACGGGTCTTCTGGCCTCTCCCCTCCTCGGTGATATTTCTACACGGGCGTCAGCCATGGGCTCAGAGGAGCAGCGAGCATTTTTATTAAAAAAGCCAGCACGGAATAATAATGGCTTGATTTAACGTCGCAATTATCTCTCTGAGCACTTTATCGCATATGATTATCCCTATTTGATAGAAGAGGAAATGGGAAAAGGTAGAAATGAAGTCACTTGTTTAAGGTCACATCATGAGTCAGGAGGGAA